CCAAAGTACCTCCTCATGTTTTAAAAGAATCAGTGCCAGAACTGGATTCGTCCAGCACAGTACCAACAATTAAGGGCTTTTCCACCAAGCAGTGCTATACAGTATGATATGGTCACAAAACCATGAGAATACATTTTGTCTGCATCTACTATATTTTGCTAAGTGACCCAACATCATTTTTTAATACCAGCAATGAATTTGATTCTGCAGTATCAAGAGTACAGAATTAGGACATGTGTGGCCCTACAAATAGTGCAGACTAGAGATGAGTAAGAATGTTCTGGTATTTAAATATTTATGCAAAGTTAAAAAAAAATACAATTAGAATTTTTGATAGGCAAATTAGCTTGTCACTAAGGTTCTATATAATTTTCACAAGAACTATGAGATATCTGAACTCTACACTCCACCAGAGGACAGTGTAGCACCTGCACCTTACACTTGAGTTTTTAACCCTCTGGGGTCTAAGCACATTTTCTTTATTTTTGCATATCTTCTTAAATGCACCTACAAAGGTAAATACTTGCACATAACATAATGTTTCATATCAAAATCTTCCACTATCTTTGTTTCTACTTTCCAAAACCGCTGCAGTAACTTCAGTCGCTCTAAACCCTTTGCCCTTTGTCCTAATGTCAACTGAACGAAGGGTTTCCGACATGATGGGTCAGTGATTTTCTGAGTGTCCACTTGTCAGTTTTCGAACAAAATGTGGACGAATCCACTAATTACACATGGTGAGAGGCAGATGATGTGTTTCATAACCTCTCTTCATAGCCTTACAAATCCGAATGGGAGTCACATACGATCTCGTTATAAAACGGAATTGAAAAGGGCGACTCTACAGATTCAGCAAGTGTTTGAACCGTATTTCTGCATTGTATTATCGCAAATATATACAGAGAGAAATATATAGAGAGACATCGAATTTGATGCACAGGCACATGCCCATCCCTAGGGCAGATCACTGACTGATCAAACGCTATTGTCACTCAAGTCAGACATTATGGAAAAAAAACATCTAGTAGGCCAGAATTGCAAGTAAGTCTGAACAGACAACAAAGAACCTGTAGTGCCAAAATAAAAAAATACTAAAAAAAAAAACTTAAATATAATAATAATAATAATAATAATAATAATAGCACAATGTATGGTGGAAAGGTGATTAATAGTTGACCAAAATACAGCCAAGGTTGTGCTCTCAGCACCAACAGTGCAAAAAGTCTGTTCAAAATCAGTTTTTTGAAAGTCAAAGATGAAAAGAACAAGAAGTTTGTCAAAACACTCAATAAATTCAGACACAGGAGAATACTGGTGAAGTTTTTTATAATAAGAATGTTGTCTTTCCCTGGCCAACATATTAGTTATGTCTTACCTACTTCCATGGTATGACTGCTGACTTAGTGTTAAATGACTGTCATTGCTCCATTTCATAGAGGTCAAAACCTCCTTTTATTTCCCACAGGACGCCAACAACACACAAGCACTTAAATTGCCTTTCGCTGTATGAATGGCAGAGTTTGGAGCTGAAGACGCATTTCACCTGGGCTTTTCTGGGACTAATAGTGGACTGAGATAGCTTAACAATTCATATCTTACATATCTACATCAATAACTTATTGCACAATTATAGTCTTTCACAGTGACCTTGACTGATGTTAGACTGCAGGACTAATTTCAGTAAGTAAGGCAACTCTCCTGAATCTATGAGGAGACCTCCCAGCAGAGTGACTTGCATGTGTGACTGATAAGGTCTCTGTGAGTAACTGAGAAAAGCTATGAAGTTATTAACTAGAACTTGATGGTAGGATGAGTACTGGCAGATATTATATACATGGCTGATGGGGCTCTCAACAGGAAGGCTGGTGTGGAAGGCTCTAGTGAAAACCTCCTGAGCTCATCACTGGGCTATGCTGACAGAGCTGCATCTGATCGCTATCCATTACAAATCAAAGCTTACCAACAGGTCATGTGGATCAGCTGACATGGACAAACTGAATCCTGAGGCATTAAAGCTCAGAATACCAAGCTTACTTACTCCAATTTCAGCACTTTAAAAAGGAGAATCGATTGTATTGTGCAGGAAATGAATATAAACACCCTCCAAAAACAACGCTTATGTAGAAAGTTATACGAAGTTCAGGACTATAAGATGTCGATCACATATGTTTTTTTGAAGACAAAAAGTGTGTGAAACAACTTGTATTCTATCTGTGTCAAATTACTATCAATTTGGACCTGACCGATAAATCACTTGGTCCATAAGATCGGCCCACGCTTAACTCCTGGGGGCTGTGTGATTTTTGACTATAGCACTGATATTGTAATCATATTGTATCGGCAAATAATTCCTTTAAAAAAAAGAGAATACGGGAATCGGACAGATGTTTTGATCTGACTAATATTTCAAATTAATAATTGATGTATTTATTGTACTCGACAAGTACAGAATATTTACATTATGCTAAACTACACTGCTAAAATGTCTGTAGTAAAATAAATTGTATTTATTTTACCGCATTTGCAACCCTAAAGAAATGACTGCTACCTCTCTCTGTAATGCTAATCCTAGGATCTAGTCCCAAGTGTTACATATTATAAATGGCTATGCTTAGGCAAATGTGCACTTAAATAATTGGATATTGACACAATTTCCACATTCCTAATAAGTGGTTCCAAGAATTTTTAGCTGTTTAAAAATCTGTAATTGTCTCAAAATTTTCATTTATCCTTTACTAAACTGCATTAAACTGCATCATACATTTGCAGTGGGCCTTTTCATTCACACAGTTCTTAAAACAAATTAACTCTGGTAATGGTAGGTGCTGTAAGCATCACTGTGACTACATACAGATGTCCACATTGCATATAACTTCTCTAGTTACCACTGAAAGGAATTATTTCTCCGTCGATAGTCCATTTTGTGAAATCACTGATCTGGGACGCAGAATCAATTCCTTTACCATGGAACAATCAATAGCAGTGGAAGGCAAAAAATGAAGGAGGAAATTGAACAGCAATTTGAGAGGGCTGATCAATCCTCCAAGGCAGACTTCCACAACACCCGTGACATTTCAATGAGAGGTCTTTCAGCGTTTTCAACGCAAAGCTCTACTGGAAACAGTCAACCTACTTGCTTCTCTAGAACCCACTCCAAAAATCCATAAATTACATAACTGTTATAATCACTTATCTGTCAGTATGAGGCTGGTGTAACACTACTTTCATCTTCTAAAATAGAAAAATTCAAATCCAGAATGTATGAATAAGCAATAGGAATAGAAAAGAGAGGAGTGGTTAGAGTGTTTTGGAGCACATATGGGAATACCTCACCAGCATTAATCACAATACGGAGCAAATACACTGCAAACACTCCACCCTCCTGAAAACCTTCCCTTCCGACAGCTTGTGAATTAATTAGGCAGTAAACAAAGCCTGAAGTGTAGGCGTGAGACCACAGAGAGAAAGACAGAATGAAGGTGGGAAGGAGAGAGAAAACTTGAGAAAAATAAGGAGGGAGATTGCAAGATTAAATGCTATACTTTTTCCCCCCCAGTGTAATATACTGCAGGTTGTCCTTTTATGAAGGAAACCTAGAAAATTACCGTAAGTTTAATAACATTTTGGACTAGAAGCATGCAATTCTAATATTCGAGCGTTCGCAAGAGCTCTTAACTGCGGGGAACAGACTTAGGCCAGCGTTAACATAGGGCTGTAGGTTTATCATTTTAGGTTACAGCGCCGGTGTAGTGCAAAAAATGAATACTATGCAAAGGAGTACATGTAAGTGACAGAGTGTTTGAGTATGTGAGTGAGTTACAAGCCAGTTCTATGAGATTTGTTTTGTTTAAAAATAGCCAAGGGAAATCAGTAGGTTTACTTGTTGGATGAGTAACTGAGGCTGCCCCTTCAGATGAGCTAATGAACACTACAGCTAACAGTACAATGCTGGTTGCTGTTGAAGACTCTGGTCATCTTCTACAGATTAACATGGGAGTTTGTCAGACAAGCATCTTTCACTGTTTCAATTTTCAGGCTTCGCATCATTTACACATGCAGGCCATACATGGCATTTTACCAGGATGCACACATTCATACATGCCTTGGACATCCCAGGTGACGTTCTCAGCATGAATAGACAACAGCTCCTTCATTTCCGAATCATATATGAAAAATATATGAAAAAAATACATCTCTGAAAACTCAACAGTAAAACACAGACATTTTGCTTTGCTGGCCAAGCTGTTGCACAGAAGAAGCCCTGCATGCCTGCAGGGTAGATTTTTGCCAATTCCCTCTAGAATTATGTACAAAATACACTCCCCTCAAAACTAAAAATTCAACTGTCAAAAAACTGCAATCACAGAAAATGTTCAGCTTTGCCTGCTGTAATCTAGACATCTCTGTATCACCCAGTAATGCATTGGCTTCTGTTCACACAAGAACCCTCTTGGTCATTTCTCCAGTATCGTACACAGCTTCGTACAGGTAAATTGCCATGTCAACTTTACCATGGGTTTGACTCCATGTTGTGTTCAGGCTTGACCCTTTCCCATTCAATTACCATCAAATTTATCAATGAAAATGCATGTGTGAAAGGGGCTTTAGAATAGGTAGCCTTGGTACAGCCACACTACCTCTGATTTATCAATCATGTACTTAACAACAAATCCTTGGCAACACGTTAACATTAAGGCAATCAAATTTCAGAATAGCTAAGTGTGATATTCACAAATACAAGTGAAATACCTGTGTATATCCCTAGTGTGGACCTGAGAGAATAGCTATTGAAAAACACTGGACTATGTCTTATTAATGGGAGTAAGGTAAAGATTTTTTTGTATCTTTTCTAGTATAAGGCTGTGGGCATATGGTAGAGAGGTAGTGAGAGAGAGGGAAAGCACTTGGGGGAAAAAAGGAGGAGTAACAGAGTGAGAAAGGAGAGCAAAACAAAATACTGATAACAAGCATAAACCTAAAAAAGAGAGATAAAGACGCACCCTGAGCCAGCATACTGAACTCCAGAAACAGAGCGATGTGGTACAGCTCCATGGCCTCTTCGGCTCGACTCATGCTGCCTCTTCCTGCCACCAAAGCCTGCACCTCCCCCAGACTCCCTGCTGACGGACTCCCGCGCAGCACTAAGGACAGGTCCACTGCGTCGGTGTACATACAGTGCAGGATGACGCAGGCGTACTTCTTTGGGATGATGGACTCATCCAGGATGATGCGAGTGGGTGTTTGCAGCGTTCTCTCTGTGATCTCCTCTCCGGTACGGATGCGTCGCTGCAGCAGGTTGCGGAAGAAGGGTGAGCGGGCCGAAAGTATTGCCTTGTGGGCCCTCAGCTCCTCTTCTGGAGCGCTGTGGCTTGAGCTACTGGTGCTGGGAGGAGGCCCGCTGGCACCGAATGGCTCCACCAGCTCAGACTCGGAGGAAAAGCTGAGCAGAGAGTCATAGTAACACATGTGCTCGCACAAGTAGCGCATATCTGCTTCCAAAGAGTTGGGTGTCCCGAATTCCTCACTCAGCCGCACAAGGACGTCTATGTTCTGCAGCCGTGTGTCCTCTGCGCCCAGCTCACCAGTATAGAGGTAATGCAGCAGTGAGGAGAACATGGCTGCATCCATCCCTGCCGTACCAACATCCAGCAGCACCTCAGCACCATAGCCTGGAGATGAGGACAGGAGTGTCTTGAAGAACGGACAGCGAGCTGCCAGGATGGCGCGATGTGCTGGGAAGCATGTGTCCTGGAAGATCAGGTCCACATCTGTGCAGTATTTGTGCTGGTACAGGGCAGCCAGGTCCTGCTGCAATGTTCTGGCCTCAGGCCGGGCCAGGCCGGCCTGCACGCTGAGCTCCTTCAGAGCAGCCGTGCCTTCATATTCCTCCACTAGGGCGTTAACATCTCGCACGTCCCAGCCGGAGAGCAACTCGCGCATCTGCCGTGCATGGTCTGCCGAGCGGCTGGACTTGCGGCGCTTGATGAACCTCCTCTTGAGGGTCGCCAGGCCGGAGCTCTTCTTCTTTTTGTCCTGAGGTTTCTCAACACCATGCTCCAGGCTGTAGAGCTTTGACTCGCCGCCATAACCCTGCGAGGGTGCATAGGATGTCCCTATATAGTGTGATAAAGATACAAATGAAAAGAATTATATGCACTGTATCAAAAACAAGTATAGATTGAAATGCTTCTGGCAAGGTACTTTTAGGCTGTGGTAGGCCAATTTTTATTTACCACTGTTTTACAGTTATCAACATTATATATAAAAATATGCACGTTTCTCTACACTGCATCATTTCACATCAAACTATTTTGAATGACTTGTTTACATTTCAACAGTTAAATAACACAGAATTAAAAATCAGCAGAATTCCCCTTAAACAGTACTTTTGTATTGCACAAAAAAAAAGACACTAACTAAACTGCAGACCTGCTCTTAAATTGCAGCATCTTTAAAATGACTAGTTGTATGATTAGACAAAATGTCTGTCTCTGAGTGCAACTATAAACTATATGACAGAGGTGGACAATAAAGCAATAAGCCACAAGAGGCTGTGGGTTACTGCGATTTTATCACAGGAAGATTGTGTTCTTAGGCATGATGAGAAGCGTTTGGTTGTATTTTTTTGACATTTTTGTCTTAACAACGAACATATGATAACACAGCACTGTTTAATGCAAAAACTTTTGCTTTATCAACACTTTTTTGGTCACCAGATTACCACCACGAGTCTTATTTAGCACCAATCCAATGGCACCCCTCTTCTCATGCTGGGACTGGATCTCAAACAGCTCCATGCTCCCTACATGGTGCACTATGTAGGAATTCAAATACTGGGTCCTGCAGCCCAACAGTGCTTAATATAGCTAAGAAATTGTCATTTGAGACTCAGCTCCAACCATACTCGATAAATGGTGCACTATTTGGCTGTAGAGGAGAGAAATTCTAGCACACTATTTAGGGAGTACGGAACCATCTGGGATTCAGAATGGGTTTGACGTGACTTCTGACTGAAACATGAACATTTGAAGCGTGTAATCCATTCAAGTGCCTTTTTTTTAGGCTTTTATATTGCCGTTTACAGTTAATCATACTGTAGGTGATTGAGTTGTTTAGGTTGTCAGCTATCTTTTAGCCTGTTAGCTTGCTGACCAGCCTAGTTCTAGTTAAGAACATAAGCCACCAGCCCCTCAGTTCAACCCTTTCAGGCACAGTGGTTACTGTGAGAAACCACTTTCTTTTTTCTCATTTCTCAATTTGCATTAGTGTTTAAATGGGGAACCTGTACATTTTTTGAAAATGTAGAATGTTGTTCTTGGGACAGTTAAAAAAGTAGCACACAGGAAGTGATGTAAGAACTGTAGTTCTTCTGCAAACCTGGGTTTGCATGGTTGCTGGAGGAGCCTGTCCAAAACTGCTTACCAGGTGATCCCGGTTGGTTTTGTATGTATGGTTGTAGTTTTTAATTGTAGATAACATGCTATAGAATGAGAATTTGCAAAATAACAATTAAAATAACTAATATATTCATTTTATAAGGCTAAGATGTGGTGGTTTTGCCTGGTAACCACTGTGAATGTAGGTGAAGTAGATGGTTACATTGGTGGTTTCCCTGAGTAACCACAGTGCATTTAGGACAAACACATAATCACATGGAGAAATGGTGAAAGACATTGTGCTTATAGTGGAAACATTGTGTTTATTTGTTTGTTTATTCAAACCTAGAGATAATTCACAGAGCTAATTTGATTTATATTGTATATCATAGTGCATCATGGAAAAACAAAATGAGTGCTGAGGAGGTAATAAGACTGTTGCTAGAAGCCATTCCATCAGATTCTTCATGCAGTGAGAGTGAGAGCAGTCAAAAGGATTATGAGGGAGAATAAAAACGACAGAGGTCGTGAAAGTGACCAGGGCAATGACCCAGTTGTAAATGTACACATTCTGTAAAGACTGAAGACTGTCAGCTGACAGAAGAGCAAGACAGTTCCCACACTAAAAACCATACATATCAAGGGAGAAGCACAAATCTGAAGCTGCTCATCTCCCAGTGTAAAGCACATCAAGACAGTATGCTGAGTGCAGCACTAAGAAGGGTTTACATTACACAGTATGGATGTGCACAGAGTGCAATGTTGGGCTGTGCATCAGCCAGAAAAAGAACTGACTTTACCTTTGTCACAAAAAATTAAAACAAAACAATGAAAATCAGAGAGCAAGCTGAGTATTACATGAAAAACATAAATGACATAGTCAGCCCCCTTAGTGCACAGTGGTTACTCAGAGAAACCACCTCAGAAATGACCTTTGACCCTGCACCTAAAAAATCTCACCCAAAATGTAGTTTAGTTTAATGGTTTGTAACTTGTTCCCATCAACACATCTGGTATTTTGAAATAAATTCTGTATGTGTGCCTGAAAGGGTTAAACAAAAAACGGGTTCTTACTTAGTCAGTACACTGCACGTGAGCAGCATGAGAGTCAACGGAATAATCTTTAACAGCACAAGGTTTTTTTTCGTGCTGTGGCGTAGTAATACACAGTTCAGTTGTTGTGACCCAGTCATAGGAGCGGTATATCGTGGATCTTGCGGCTTTGAATGCGGCTCAGCCAATCAGATTTTAGGACCAAAACTATCCATTTTATAATATGAAAATATTTTATTGATATCATGATAAAAATCATTACAATGTAGCATATCGTAGATATCATCAGTACTTCAACAACACTGACCAACTACAGGTTTCCTTACAAAGAGTTAATGAAAGTGTGCCTTCACTGTTATTGCATAACATTTGTATTTGATTCACTTGCATGACACAGGCCCCAAAAGCATGAATAATTTTTAAACAAGTGCAGTGAGTGGACACAGTGTAACCATCTGGTGTGAGCAATTCACAGTCGTCTTTCATTAAACTGCCATTTAAACCCTAGCAGCTACAAAACTGTGAATTATGTCAGAGGACAAACGTAAAATAATTCGGCAATAACAGCTGTCAAATTGGTGCAACTTTCCATAAATCAAATATCCACCTCAAAATTCTAGAAAAATCTAAAAATTCCACCACTGAACAATGTTCAATAACACTGATTTTGAAGATAAAAACAATTGAGTATCTCTTACTGATAAATACCTTTCACCAAAAAATCAAGTAACAATTCATTTGCTATTTAGTTCATTCAACACATTCTTTGAGTTTAATTAATTCCCTTTGAAGCAAATTATACTTGATATACTAGAAGAAAATTATTTGGAAACACAAAGAATACTTGCTCTTTTTATTATTGACATGATAATATTTCAAGACTTTTTATTCCTTTGAAAGCATTTATTTGCAGTAGTGAAGAAAATACCCTCTCCTAAAACATCAGTGTATAATCCAAAGAGATTTAGTGAAATGCACATGGTTTTCATGTTTAGTAGGGAATGCTGATCATGTAAAAAGAGCTCCCTTGAAGCAGCCTTAGATGTGGAGAAGTCCAATTCAGAAGAGAAAAGAACACATCCAAAACCACAAATAAAATATGAGCACTTTTAGCTTCAAAGTCCTCACCTGCTTCATAAAGGAAACTATGAGATCATCTAATGTTCTTCCAAGCGAGGCCATTCCATACACAAACTGATGATGTCTCCCAAACGACACTTACTTAATGCCTCTGCCCAATGTTCCATTTCTTCTCTAAGGCCAGCTGTCATGCACGGCTAATAATTTTGAAAGCACTATTACTTTACTGGTCTGCAGACATTAAGGATATGAAAACATGCACATGAGAATATGCAATAAAAGCCAACCTCGGACAAGTATGGAAAATGGATCTGTGTCAGTTTTTCAAGATGTGTACAACAGCCATCTATGCACAAGCCTTACACACAGGGCAAAAATCCTGAGATTCTTTATTAAGAGGACTAACTGAAGAACACATCTTATTTGGCTTGAGCACTAAAGAAACAGAGTACTAAAGTGCTTCTTTAACCAACTCAAACAAAATGAGCCCAGTAGTATCTGAATTAAATTAATACTTTCCATTCAGGCAAGCTCCTGTAGCTTTTCCAATGCTCAAATAATTATGGTCATGAGCCATTAACACTATTTTCAGTTAAGGACTTGTATGTCTGTCGGTTTTCAAAATGCCTTTTCAAAATTTCAAATGCCCAGGGTCTTTGTGAGCTCAAGGAAAAATGTGGGCATCAATCAGCCTTTCAGAAATTCAAGTAGGTATCTGACAGGTAGCCTTGGTTCTCAAGGCAACACATTGAGGTTTTTTAAAATTTCCTGCAATTTCAACTAAAAAATAGTTATAAAGTTAGTTTTAAAATAATGTGAGCAATAAGAAAAGTGGGCCTACAATAATCAAAATGAAATGTTCAGTGCCCATTTTGATGGCTTTTGATTACTTTTTGTCCAGCAGGAATAGTTAAGGTGACCTGACTGGATTTAATGTTGAACAGCAACAAGTGAGAGAAGAATTTGACTCTCTTTCTCTCTGTTAGAATGTGATCGACTGAGCCTTGGCCAAAAATGAAAACAAATGACTGGACGTCTGAAGCATGTCCTTGGGAACAAGACTAATTAATCATTTTGTGATTCTGCTTTTATTTGCCTTGCAGGATTAAACATTAAAAAGCTTCAAACTGTTAGAGAGGTACATGCTGGGTCATGTAAGGCAAAATGGACCAAAGAAAACATACATTTTGACTAAGTGATTTCACTATTCGAAAACTTACACCTAGAACGAATTACCAAGTACCAGAGTCCCATGCACATCACTGGTACAAATGTAGCAGAAAATCTCATGACGCACTTGAAAAAAGGACCAAAAAAAAAAAAACTCATCCGAAGTAGACAAAAGTGTGAAAAAGATCTTGAACAGCAGAGAGAAGTGATAGGTTTACCTATGAAGGTCTGCTGGGTCTGTGAATGCCCCCCAAAGCGAGGAGAGCACGAGTGAGGATAGCTGGAGGCATTAACACCCATCCTCTTCCCCTTCTTCCTCCTCCTCCTCCTCTTATTGGCATGCACGGCTGGTGCCACCCTGCTAAATCATTCCGCTCCAGTGAAAATGCACAGACTCGTTCACCACTTCACTCATTCAGGCCTGCGTAGATGAGCTGAAACTGGAGCGCTATCAGCCATTCCTGAGAGAGAGAAAGAGAGAGACAGAGAGAGAGAGAGGGGGAGAGAGAGAGAGAGAGAGACAGAGAGGGAGAAAGAGAGAGAGGGAGAGAAAGAGACAGAGAGAAATTAAATTTAATCTGAAACACTCTTACTTACTGTCCCGTCCGTTTCATTAGGGAGTAACAATTAAGAATAGAGACGTTTTCAGGCATGTGTCACTTAGCCTTACAGCCACTCATCAATTTCAGTCTCACAACAATCTACAGCAGTGGATTCCTTTGCACACTTTAAACGGGTCATTAAATTGCCCAGAAATTAGGCGAAATATGCTTTGGTATAACACCCATACATTGGACTGAACACAGTCGAGTGATGCTGAAAGCTAGTGAAAAAGAACTTTTTCAATGCACAAGGCTTTACAGCAGCCATGCTTATCACATCATTTCTTAGGAATAATTCAAAGAGCCCATATCCTACATTATTTTTGCTAACCCCGCCCCCATAACTCCACTTCTAACATTTGTGTTAGTTTTATGTACCAAAAACAATTTATTTAAAGCGCTGTTTTTGTTTTTGGGCCTTTAGTAAATGAGTTCCATTCTAACTGGCTGCCGTGTATTGTGCCTCATTCAAAAAATTTTTCTTCAAATACTAGTCTCATTCGCTTCAGCTTGACCTAGAAAGGTCTACACTGAAAATGAAGCCCAAACCTAATGGCACAACACATTATACTGGTTCCCAAAAACACCTGAATTATTTCTTTGAACTCAACTGGCAATAAATGGTATGCTGTCATTTCCTTGCCAGAAGAGATGTTGCTTCGGGGATTGGGTTTGCTATATCAAGACACCCACCAAGTGAAGAGCTATTGCTCTATCCAGCTATTTGGGCTATGTTTCATTTTACTGTCCAATCTTGTACTGCCAAAAACTGCTCACAGGGGAAGCCCACAGCAGGCCTGGGACACAGCAAGACTTAACTTTCCCGCTGAATGCTTTTCAGAGGAGAGAGGAGGAAAAGTTTTCTAGTTTGGAGAGTACATTCTATAAAAATTAAAGATATCTATTTTGAACAAATGTAGTGTTTACTTCAACTCATTGAGAAAGAAACAGAACTTCCTTGAGGTACACTTTCAAAACCCAAATGCATATCCAGTGTGTCCTCATATTTAGGCTACACCACAGACTTCTCCCCTCCGACTCGCCAAACACTGAACCGCATTGTTTGTGAAATCCGCAGAAGAACCCGAAATCTCAGGTTACTCCAATTCTTTTGTCATCACGAACCCCCCTGCTGAAGTACACACTGAAAACAAAACACACAAAGATATGTGGGGTCCAATTTCATACTCAGTCAAAACAACGGAGGGCCGTGCACATGTGTAAGCCCATGTTTTGACTGATTAAGGCTTCCCTTTCATGCTGTGTCTGGAATGTTTTCAACATCAAAGCTGTCATTTTAATAGACTTTACTTTGATCTAGAATGTTGAATAAAAGCAAAAGAAAACTGCTGTATGTCAGCACTGTGGGAGAGAAAACGTGGAGAGCAAGAGAACTAAATAATAAAGAAATCCATACAGCAAGAAGATAATGGCACTTAGCATACACAGCTAGCTTCAGTGGCAAGCCTCTTTGTTACAAAATAATCACTTTCCATGAAGTGGTGCACTATGCCGGTCGTCAAATTTCTACGATATGCAAAGCGATCCGTTCACTAGACATTAATTAAGCATTATTCTCTTTATTCCACTGAGCAAGCAAATCAACCTGCTGCCTGTAGGCTGCATAAAACTAACAAGAGCCTTATTAGATGAAAAGAAAAATTTGGAGAAAGTGACTGAGCAGCAGGTCTTTTGCACCATCCTAGCAAATAAATTCTCTTCTTACTTAAGCTGAACTTAAGTACAACTATTCATTACACCTGACAAAAATTCTAAGCATTTGGTACAGATACAGCTTGTCAATGGCGATGAAAGGTGCTAGAACTGCTCATCTATTGACAACAGCATCATCCAGTTAGCATAGAGCAGTAGAATTATGGATTGCACATGATAAACATAAACAACCAGCAAAAATGCATATGAACCTCTTTTTTTTATTTTTTTAATACACCTTTAGACAACAGACTCCTACAATCTGCATGAAAGGAGTATCAAACTAAATGTGTAAGACAGGGGTCATCAAAGGGCAGTTCTCTAGAAGTTCTCTAAAGGGGACCAATTCTCTACAATTCTGCAAATAAAAAAGAAAAACTGCACTTGAATTTTAAGTAATTTAAGTTTACAGTGTACAATGCAGATTATCAGAACCAGGGGTCACAATATCTGAACACATAAAACCATTTCATTTACTATACAAAATGATCATTGATCTTACATGTGTTTTCTGCATTTTTAGATGTAATGATTAAAGACATACTGGTAAATCTAAAAATGTTTTCTTTGGGAACTATTTTGCCACTCCCTGCATGTACCTCTCCACAACAACTGTATTAAGAAATATATTTTAGCCTAAAACCTTCTCTCAAAACCATTGCATAGCAATCGCTGAACAATGTGTCACGTTAGCCTTTTGTGTAATAATCTTCTGTGACTGATCTCTTCAGACATCTGTTTCCTACCATCGCCAAAGTTATCCCAAATCCAAAACTACTAAAGGCTGAAAAGCAGTGTCTGACTTTGATTCGCCATCTTGAGCTCAGAATCAGTTGGCCAGGATGAAAACATGCCAGCCTCTCAAGAAGAAAAGTTAACAATAAGACCCTGTGGAATGGCTCTTAGACTCCCATTTTAGGTCTAGGAACCAGGTTTAGTAAGCATGTATGAGCAGGCAAAGTTCCCCAGTGTAGAATATGATAAAGGGTCATATCACAAATATAAGGATAGACAGATCCAGACAGGCTAACTTTACCATGGGATTAGCAAAATAATACAAAAAAAATAATAGTAAGCCTCTAATATCAATGATGAATTGAGTCAATGACCGCTTGGGGAAAAAAAAAAAAGACACAAAGCTCATTATATAGACAACACACGGCAGTGGAAAAAAATGCTAATTACAGTGCCTGATAAAACAACTGTCTCTCAAGATGAGTGGCAGCAGTGGAGAAGGAATAAATGAATAGCTGTCTGAGTGCTCCAGGGATCCAGAGCATGCGCTAAAGCAGACACGGGAGTTATGTAAGTAACGGACAGGGGCAATTTTTGACGTATTCTCTGCATCAATAGGGTGCCTCTGTCAATGGCGCAACAAAGATCCCCCCCTCCACTTCCCTTCCGAGGAGACATACACAATTTTAAACAGAAGTACTTTATTTCACAATTTAGTTCACGGGTCCTTCTTAAGACTCCAAATAGTTCAAATCTAGGGTATAGTGTTAACGATTACTTATTTGTTAGTAAAACCTCAATTATCCCAGGCACCAATTATTTAAAAAAAAAAAATGATAAATGATATGTAAACATTTCCATTAAGTGTAAACAGTCAATACTGTCCCAAATCCAAAACCATTTAAATTGGACATCAAAATAAACATTTTCACTGATCTTTTCTCTAGGCAAAGTCACTATCTTAAGCTCAAAATCAGTTGGTAAGAACGGCAGCCTCTCAAGAAGACACCTGTTTCTGACAGGTTAATAATAAGACAACCTTGAATGGTTCTTAGACTCCCATTTCAGTTACGTAAATCAGACAGCAAAACGGCACTCTCGATTTCACTGAACTCTCACATTCTTGTTGTCATCTTTAATGTAGCATTGAAATATGACCCTCACACACATGAGGTTCACAAACAGATGTCAACAACACATCACAGGGGCTTTCCCTGGATTCATCCCACAAATAGACTGCCATCTTCAAACTGCCTGGGTGCACCACATATGGTGGGTGTGCGCACTGAGATTTTATTTGGCCTTGAGCTGAAAACTGAAGCAGAGCATGGCCTACTCACGCTTTGGCTAGGAACAGTATAAACCATGCAGGAATTGGTGCAGAATCACAACAAACATGTTTAATCATAAATACTAAAAACAACAAATGCCATCTTCGGTGTAGTATAAAAAGGATGAAGATGAAACTTCAGCAATGGAAACTGAAAGCACTGCAAGAAAAAGACAGTGAAACTCACTACGAAAACAAAGAGCAAATCTTTTTACCTGTCTGGTGCATTCACTAGAATACTGGATCACATATGCAGGTCATCTTGCTGCCATTAAGAAAAATGCATCCAGAACAATGAGAGCATGCACGGTAGCATGAGTGCAAAGAAAGTGAGATCGAAAGTTAAATGTGTTTGGGGGACAACACTTTACCAGACCAGTGAGCACAAGTAATGTCCATTGAACAAAAAATGGCTGGCATAAAGGACCCACTGTTACAGTCCCTCTTCAGTTCTCTTCATGTTAGGAGAGGGAGGGGGGTAGGGGGGAGGGGGAGGATGGAGAGTGGAGGGTGGAGGGGTGTCGGCACCCTGTGGCAGCTTCCTGTCAGCAGTGGCAGGCTGGCTTATGTGAGACTAATGAGCGTGGACAGTGCCAAGCCACACCAGGCCAGCTGCAGGTCGTCTGATCCACCCGGCCATGCTCTCCCCTGGAGCACAGAACATCAGAGCCAGACAAAATTGAACCAGAACCTTGAATCTTTCATATGTATATGTCCGTGTCATAGGACATTTTCAGCATGAGCCTTCAGTTGATGTCCAGCCAGGACAAAAATCACTAACAGAGCAATCCAAAAGAACAAGCACCATCACATTATAATGTCATACGCAAGACTTTCATGCTTCCTAACTATATCAAATAGAAACCCCAAAATAAAATGTCTGAACTAGAAGCAGACCTCATTCACACGGATTTACTATCGACCCCTGTAGTAACAAGACCCAAAAAACATGGCTCTAAGCCTGTGACTCTGTGGATGAATGGGAAAGTCATGTTGAAGTGTGTTGTGCCTCCCTGCTGTCCTGTTCCTTCTGCTGATGATGAGGCCTGACATTTTCGTCAGCAGACACGTAGCCTACCCC